GAATTTATATTTAGTTTTATTAACGTCTATGCATATTCAAATAGGTTTTATGTGGATCTATACAAAACATTTCATTTTATAAGTTTAGACTGTATGTCTGTTTTTTTTTAAACTTTCTCTTAAACAACAGGACCAATTTGATAAAAAATTACTGGCAATTAGCTGAAGTAATAGAGGACGACTCAAGTTTCTTTTATTTTTTTGGACTAAATTAAAAAATAAATATATGTATATTATCAACGATCTACATCCTATTCAGGGTATCTACATCGTTATTTGTTACAAAATTGTAAAAGCTAAAAAAATATAAAATTATTTTTCTTTTGGTTGTAGTTAGTGTTGTAATAAAGAAGTAGGTTACATGCATGCATGGTTTATGTGATAGACTACAATTCTTAGTAGAAATTAAATTGCTTGTTTTAATCTAATAGTTGTGAAGTTATCGATGAATTAACTATAAGAATACGAATATATATCAAATAACTTACAGTCATAAAACCTTCAAACCGTCGGTGTTTAGGTTAAGATGAAACCTCGTTCTAAGAGTAAAGTATAAAGTGATATGACGTATATCAGACATCACTTCACTCAACAATATTGGAGAAGATGGATCTACCCAAGACACGTCGCGCAGATCTTTGAAAAAGAAAACAAAGAAAAACTTAGAAAAAAATATTGAGAACTACAAGAATGCATAACATTTAATATGACCCCATTTCATAAGCTGATTAGTCCGAGGAATCGTCGTTATAATAAATTCCCTCGTCCTTAATAGGAAGGATTATTTTAATTTAAAAAATTATTTATACCATAAGAAGATTTCTTCAAGATTTTTTATCGAAACAATTTATTGAAATAAAATGATGAGTTATTATCGGTTGTATTAATTTATACCTCTGATTTATAGTTATATAATTATAATTAATTTTAAAATTAGTTTTGTAAATATAATTTATTTTTTTACTTAAGCAATCGAAACCCAAATAGATGTATAATATAAGTTAAACTTAAATTGTTTACAGTCTATAAAGAAAAAAATCATTTTAAAAATTCAATGCCATTACTATTATTAACTAATGAAGCATTTCAGAAAGACAATTATTTAATTAATGTAATATAAGTATAAAAACTTCTTTAATTAGTATATTTGATAAACACTTATAAAAAAAATCCTCTACTTGAATACTTGTATAATTTATTTGTTCAAATGTCAATAACCAAACTAAGATAAAAGAGATTTAAGATCGTAGGTATGTGTTTTAATGTTGTATGGACAACAAAACAAAGTGCCACAATTAAACCGACCGGCTCCGACAGAGTTCAACAGTTTTTCCTTGTAATTCTATTACATTATTAACTTACACCGTGTTAAGGAAAAGGGATTGGATTCCTTATATATTTTATATGTATATTAATTATTTTGATACTTTTATATTGATTATATTATATATGTAAACATTTCTTTGGATTCAAGATACATAAAGAAAAATATTTTTTATATGTCTAATATGAACTAAAATAGCTTTCTCATCAATTTTATTTCCTGAATAGATATTATAAAAAAATTAAATAACAATTTTTTTTATAAAGTTCATTAAATCCATAATAAGAATAAAACAATTATGTTTCCTTTCAATTTCCTAAGCATAACATTTATTCATCTAAATTTAGGACGGTAATAATTCATCAGTAGTAGCATAAATAATCCTTGAACATATGTATAATAACAACAAATATATTTTTCAACAATCGATAAATTCTTCATCGATACCAAGGACGTCACTACACAGGTTTGCGGCGTCTACAAAGGTCGCTGAAAACTTTTAATACTTTAGCTCAACTCTCACTCAATTTCTCTTAACGCGGCTCGTTGACACGCCGACTTGGTATCGTTTTATAACTGTTTTACAACTCAAACTCATTGCTCGTAAGTTTTAGTTGTTAAAACAACTATTTTAACGAATTGATTCCTTGAAATAATACTAATACGAAAATTTTGTAAAGACTGATCATATGGAGACTTTACCTACTTTACTTTTGATTCAAACTCAACGTATAAAATTTTTCTCATTAACACTTATGTAGTTTAAATTTGAAAGGAAAACAAAAAATGATATATTGAAAATAAGAAAATACAACAAGCTATATAATCGGTGCTACCAAAAGATACATTTAATAATGTTGATTCAAAACAGCTAGCGAAAATAAAGCAAAACGTAAAACGCGTAAGAAAGTCCTTCGACGGGAGGTGGGTGTAGGGGGGGAGGGAGGGGGTTGGCGGTCGACAATAGGTGTATAGATAACTTTCCTTCCATAGTAGAGTCAATACCGACCCTAGGGAGTTTTACCCTCGAGGCCCGGTCGCTTGGGAAAACTAAACCCTACAATATAGAAAAGGACAAACCTATATGTAAGTGGAGAGTGTAAACGGTGCATGCTTGTACTATGTATTAATAATATATAAAGGAAAAATGCCGAGGACGTGTACAGAGTGATATGTAGCGACTGTTAGCGGGAGAGGGATGGATGACGTCATTTGTCCTCTCCTGATGGGGTTTTATTTTGTTTGTACGTTTACAATTTTTCGTCGTATCTAGTTTTGAATTTTCTATATATATTACATATGTACAATTGAGCTTCATAACCACGTTACAAGGAACGTATGCGTAAATTATGTTAGATAGAAAAAAATAAAATATAATTGCAATTTATATTGATTGAATTGTAACGTCTATCAGTAACCAACACGCCCATACTAAATGTAAAGTCAGATGCATCGGATACTAATTCTGTAATGCGTCGGTCACGTGGCGATGTCGAATGCCGCGCGACACGATTTGTTCACTTAACGTGTTTATCGCGAGGGTAGACAAATAGCTCCTAGATAAATAACGACAATCTTATTATCTACGGCCTAGTAAACTAAAATATGTCACGGATGATATATACATGTAGATATTATATTTCGTCGTATAAACCATTGTGATGAGCAATTTTGGAGTATTTTACTGATTCATTTTTGACTCAATTATAAGCTAGGGAATAATATACTATAGTGTACTTTATACGCCTTGCATAAATCAAAAAGAAAGTAAAAATAGTTTTGGTTACTAAATTGCTACATCAATTCATGTAAATGATGTACTAGGTGTTTGTTTTACAAATTGTCATTTCTAATAATGTGAGTGACGGGCGCGTGCGCAGGTCACGTGACTACAACCGAACGAACGACATCATCACACAATTGGATCATTCTAGCGTAATTATGTTATGTTTTTATAGTATAGCTACATATTGGTCGGATTAGTAATACATTTGAGAGCCTTAGTATCAAATGACGAGCACAATGTCATGCGAAAGTTCGTATGTGTTATTTCTTAATTACTTAGATTATTTAAAAATATGTGTCCCTTTATTAAGTTTTTCAAAAACCTTTGCAAACCTTCCATATTCTCTTTATTCACTAGATTTGAAAAAATAGATTTGTCCATCCAAAAATAAATATAGTGTCCCAAATGATAAATAATACATATTTTATACGTCAATTTATTAGTAATATAAAATGAAAATATTTTTCAGACTCACCCCTTACCGTCGATGTTTGAATTTTAAATTATGATAATTAATTTATGTTTACAAAGACTGAACACTAACGTCCGTTTTATTTGAATTCACTTGTAATACGATACCCATTCTTCACTGACACAATTAGGAGTAGAGATAAACCCATGCATTATCTAGTCAAGGGTAACAATGAAAAATATTACCCTCATACAAAAAATGTAAGTATAATATTACGATGGGGTTCGTAGTGACATGTGTGAAATCACAATGGTTTAAACTATTTAACTTGATGTTTTTGTTACTATGATGGATTAGATGACCCATCTGAAAATATCAGATAATATTTTATAATATTCATACTTTATCTGATTGGAACATGCATTACGTATTTTTATTATGTATAATCAAATTATAATCTAAATTTAGTTAATCTAAATATGTATTAAAATATATTTACAAATTGAGTATATACTGAACAGACTATGGAGACTCGGAATAAATAAAACGTTTTAAATTGTATAAGTAAGTTCTTTAATATCGTCTTGTCATATTTTGTTCCTTAAACGATTACAATGTACACATATTTTGATATACAATTGCTTTAAATAATACATAAGTACTACATTTCCATATTCAGATTCAATACAGGTGTGATTTTCAAGGAAAATGTTAGGGAAAGAATTCTATATTTTTTCGTATACATTAGGTTTGTTTCTAAGAGATTTCACCATTTTCCTTTTCGTTGATAGAATTTTCTATAGAAAGTCTCCGTGCTAGATAAAAAGATATGTATTGTTTCGAGATATGATTTATTCGAGCGCTCATTTTATATCTTAAACGTAATTTTATATATTCGTTGTGATAAATGATATTTTTAAATTTACAATAAGATTCAAATCGAAAAATGGAATTTACAAATTGATTATATTACAATCGTACTTACAATAAATATATCACAGATTTTACAAAAACAAAAAAACTGTCTCACAAAAAGTGGGTAACTTTAAGACGGCGCAGACCCTGAGCATGTAATTCGAATCCAGCCATCAAACTATGAAATGTCCAGAATTTAACTAATATTTACAGATAATTACAACATATTTACAAACATTATTCTTACCTCCACCACTCTAATAAATATCTTGATTACATACCAACAGATTAAACTATCATTATTGAAAAATGTGCCACGATTTTATAATCAAATCATTTATAGGGCATCGTAAACATTAATAAAGTTATATTGCGTGTACATAATACGATGACTTAAATAAAAAATGTACAGATATAAAATATAAATAGGAATAACTTTAGGCTACTGTTAAACTTATTGTAAAACAATACTAACGTGAGCTTATAATATTTTGTTAGAAAATTTGAACTGAATTTTAAAATATTTTTTATTGAAACAAAGAAAAAATATCTAACGCTTTCCATTACTTGGAGGCAAGCGGCGCTGTCTGCGCGTATTGCTGTGCGCTGCACGTGGGCAGCGAGAACGGGTTCACGCTAAAAGGCGATGACACCAGACCGCCCATTCCTGCTGACAAACAAATGAATTTAGTATTGAAAGTTATAGAAAAGTTATATGAACTATGAAGACATAATCATGATGAATTTATGAACAAAATTCCACCTAACCTAGAGTATAGAGTCGATGTTACATTTGAATTTCATTACCATTCAAGTAGAAGAGCAAAAAGCGCTAGCAATAAATAAAAGCGAACTGGAGCAAAACAAAAACAAATGAAAAACTACTAACACTGTACAGCTAGATGTTGCCAATTTTGCTGTTGGAAATTACGCGGTGGACTTTGTCTGACAACTGCGAACGCACTTCGGGACTTTTCTTTATGCGTTTTCGTGTCGATACATTTCGTATGATTGTTTTGATAGATGGTTTTATTATCGTCATTTCTTTCTGTATAATGCTCGGTTTCTTTGTAAGCATTGTATTCTGTATGTCCGTTTACGTTGGCCGGGTGGTAGGGACCTAGAGACACTGCACGTATAAAGAACAGGGTTAACACAAAGCGACATAAACACATAGCGTGCGGAAGCTCAGCAAATGTGAAATTAAAAGTAATTGTGTTCTCACAGTTGGGATATGTTTGTGTTGTAGTTTATAAATTGCACTTATAAAATTTTATATAGTTGCTGTAATTTTCCTTTGGTTATTAAATGAAACATTTTAACACAGGTCATAAGGTCGGTTTTACTAACAGTTTTGTCGTTTTTGCAATATATTTTTTATTCGATCGTATATCTGATTATATATCGTAACAGTTATATTATTTTATGAATTTTATTCACCCCTAAAATTAAATATTTAAGGTAACTATAGGTAACACAGTTGTATAAGTAAAAAGTTTTTAAATATAAAAAAACATAACCATGCCAAAAAAAACTTGATTGACCTGGTGCTATAAATCCTTGTTTTATACTTATTTAACTTACTAATCTTATAGTTACTATAGAGGTATTTAAAAGATTTCTAATTGAAACTATAAAATGTGTGTGTAGTGTATATGTACATGCTTTTACAAGATGACTACTAATATCCAAAAAGGGCGGGAAGTATGGCATTACTACAAATATGACAACGCTCTATAGATAGTTACGCAAAAAGGTATTGAAAAGTGAGGTGAGACGTGTAAGGTATTGTATTTTACCACAAAAAAGATATCACTTTATATATACTTACGCAGAGATATCGAAGATTGAGGTGTAGAGCGTGAGCAAGTACGTATTGACACGGTTATAACACCGTTATATACACAGATACTTACGCAAAATGGTATTGAGAGTGAGGTGGACCGTGAAAGATAGGTATCATACCACAATAATGACACCGCTTTATAGATACTTACGCGAGGAGGTATTGAAGAGTGAGGTAGGTGGTGCAGGGTAGTGTTGCGGTGGGTAGGCGGCTGGCGCATGCGGCGTTGATGCGGCAGAACAATACCGCGGAGATACCGAACCGCCGCTGCGTGCGTACTCTTCTAAAACACAAATTCACTTAAAAACACTGATCATTGTTACGAGTATACAGCAAATATGTATAGAAAAATTCAGAATTTGGCCAAGGGATGATATTTGTTGAAAAATAATGTCGATATAGTAGATTACGGCACACGTGATCACGGCACATCTCGTCTGCCCGTGATCACGGTTGCTGTAAAGTAGCTGAAACCTCGGGAATATGTAGTTTTTTTTTTATCAAAAATAAAAACGCGTAGTACATTCGACGGATATTAGTTTCATTTAAATGAATAAGACTCGCGAAAATCTTGATCTACTATGCTATTTTTTAACTAATCAAACTTTTATGAATAGAGTTATTAAGGCGTTGAATAAAGTCTAAATCGTTAACCTTCAGTCCACTGTGAGGCGGCAGTATCTTGGACGCTGACCGCCAACTGTCCTGTGTATGAGTTGAAGGGCATACTGGAGGGCGAGCGAGGAGCGGATAGACCAAGTTGGTTATTACGAGGCATTGAATACAAGGCCTCCGCAAGGTCTGCTGCTCGCTTTAGAATTATCTCCTGGGGATATTATTTTAATTTTAATTTATGAAACGTTTTGTTAACTTAGTACATTATTTTAATCTAATAATCTAATTATAGATGTATTTATATGACCTTTATATGATAAACTTAATAAAACACATGCATTCGTGAAAATTATGTTTAAAATTACCTATAAGTATAATATAATTATAATAAATGATTTGTAATATATATTTAAATGTTATATATATTACCTTTGGTAGTTTTTCTGGATCACCAGGATGCCGTGGTATAAGTTTCTGTAGTCTCTGAAAGCCGTAATCTATTGTAGGCTCGTTGAGAGCTGCTATGCGGAAGAAAAACAGAATCAATCATTAGCCGCTCCACTAACGAATGAAAGCCTAATTGATGGATCGCTATCCAAAGAAATTGTGTAACGGGGATTACTTTTTGGGATGTTTTGTGTCCTAAATACGTTTGTTTATTAGCAAATGGATGGATCCTGGGTTTTTGTAATGAATGTTTTGACTTTGTTTAATTGACTTACGCTAATTAAGATTATTTATTAGATTCACATGCGTTACAGCTTAATATTTTCTTTACTCACAAACATATACGAATCTTCCAGGCGCTCCTTTGCAGAATTGCTTGCTCTTGTATGAAAGTGTTACTTCAACTACGCCAGGTATGTGCCGTGGTGGAGTTTGAACTCTTATCGCATGTGATGTTATCAACTGTTAACAAAATTAAGCAAAGATTTATCATACTGAATATTATTGTGAGTAATTACTAATGACCCTAATTTAATTCAAAGCTTATAAGACTACAAACGTTTCAGACGCTTAATACGTATATAGAATTATCAAATATAAATTAAACTAACAAGAAAAGTTTTTAGTTCGTCTTCCCATCAAATATCGACTGAAAAAATAGTCTTACCTCGCTCCATACCAACATAGTTCCAAATACAACTTGAAGTCCATCGAAAAAGTTGTCCCCCACTATTATTACGGTAGAGCCCCCTGACGTCCAGCCTTCGCTGGGAGATATTGCTTTGATGCATGGCGTTGCTACGGGCAACGGTGGGTATAGCCCCGCTGTTGACAAAACAAACCATTCTAATCTTTATTACACACACTGTAAGGTTGGAATCAATTCGCAGCTATCAAAACCTGGTTATATGATAGTGAAATAACTCTAAAACTTTGAAATCATATAACATTGAAGCCATAAAAGTAAAAATGAAAATTTTATGTACAACTTAAAATGTTGAACATAAGCCAAAAACAACTAAAACTATACTAACTAAATGAAATTTATCTTCGAAATACAGAAAAAGGACAAACTTCAAGTCAATAGATGTACGCTTATTTTTGGTAATTGAAAATGAATTTTAATTGGTCGCAATAAAGGTGGAGATCGCGTTTAATTGAATGGTTGTTATAACATTATCGCGGTGTTAGAAGGCTGTGAGGGGGACACGCGTCGTGAGACAACAGGGAGAAACTGAAATCTTACGAACAAAACGACTCGGTAATAAAGACTAGAAGAGAAAGTGAATTTAAGGGGACGAAAGCAGATTACAACGGAGGTACTTTTTAATTTGAGTAATAAACATTTTTTTCCCTACCCCTGAGGGTGACTAGTAATTAATATTTCATATACTTTTACTCAGATTTTTAATAGTAGGAGGGAAAGAGTATTATAATATAATGCCAATTGTATATGTATATTTATTCGTTTTCTGTTTTAAGAGAATCATCAGATTATATCGAACATTTTTAGTATTTGTCACAAGTTTAATATAAATTCTAATAAAATATCCACGACTTCGTTTAGTCGCCTACCCATCGCCCCCGTTTAAGTTCTTTGCGAAATGTCTACTGTGATTCCTCGCATACAAACGACGTCATCAATTCTTGTATTACGACTTCACACTCGCCTTTACAGCGAATTGCCAACTATCAAATCATTCAAACTACTTGTAGCAATATATACTTAAATTACATCCATCGAAATGTCGTATTGTAAAAATTAAGGCGGAAGAATTTTAAACCCAGGAACTGCATAAAAAAATTGTATATAAAATTTCACAAAGACTTACATTTTTAATTTAAGGTTATAAGTATGGTGAAATAAAATTTAAGATGGTTTATAATCATAAAAAATCTTACATCTATAAACTCAATAATGTCTTAAAAAAAGTACAAAAATAAAATAAAAAAGAAACAAAAACGTACAATTAGAGTCGGGCGCGGCGTCAATACCTTCAGATGGGTCTAATCTCTTTGCACGTCTACCGTGCTTGCTGTTGTTGTGAACAAACATGTTGTCCGATATTGCTAGCAGAGGACCATCTACCATCACTTGCGTCGAGATTACCACCTGTCAGATAAGTAGAAATAATTAGACTTATATAATAAAAATAATATTTATATTCCATCAATATAACTCTTTTTAGACTACACACCAATATACGAATATAGAAAAACTTCAGCAAACAATATTTATAAATAGAACACACATAAACAATCTTCATTGATATATATCACACTTACAAAAATAACCCTCACATGTAAGGAATCGAAAGGGAGAGTCCCAGGGGAGGAGCGTCTGGAATGGACGTAGGTATGCAAGGAAGTGCATATGCAGATATAACAATATCTATAAATAGAAACCTAAACTTGATTCGTGATTTAAACTATTTGACAATCTACTTTCTAATATCCTTTTCTTTTAAAATATATCACGATTTTTGAGTTTATTACTGTTATTAAAGAGCATTGAGATTTATTAAGGCAAATATATTTTACACCTATACGAGTATATTCTTACCCTTGAAACATTGGGGCGACACCACTGAATTATTCAATGTCACACAGAAAGCCAAATATAGACATAACTAGAGTCGGTAATCGCTTATGCATATTGATATCAACGATATATGTGAGTAATATTAGTTCTATATTAGCTTAAAATACCCAGAAGGCACAAGACAAATATCGATACAAGCCAGGAAGTAAATTTGAACATACAAGTAGGCTGTGACTGCACCTATACAGGCTTAACAAAGTTTGTGTAATATATAAAACTAATTAAACCAATTTTATTTGGTTCATTACTTATATTAAATTAATATGTTACACAAAATAAAACATATTATTAAAATATTTTAGCAAAACTATTATGAATCACATCTTAGTATTATCATTGTACAAGACTAATCGTGTTAATTGTTCATTTGTAGTTTGTAGATAGCAAAACTACCAAACTGGCTTATATAAGATTATTAAAACATTTAGATTAATCTACTAAGTAAAATTAAGACTATTGTAAATCTAAAATAATTCTTGATAATTTTTAAAATCATGTGCGAATCCATATGGAACAAAGCCTTAGCCTATACATATATACATATGTAATACATGTAGACGAAAAAAATTTATGCGACCGATAAAAGAAACTGTTTCTAAGAAATCAGAGACGAAAAGATCGAGAGGATAAATAGATAAATTCACATAAATAAATTTAATTTCATTCCCTCCCTAAATTGGAGGTGCTTCAAATATTCAGCAGCAGTGAACGCAACCCTTCCTCTAGTAAGGCCGTTACGAATTTGGTCTAAGGTAGAAGAGAATAACCATTGCTTTGAATCCATGACTTTTTCTATTATAAATAAGTAATGGTAAGAAACTTAATACTTAACTACACAGTAATAATATATTTATATTCTATTAAATAAGTTTAGTTTTTTATAATATGTATTTTGATTTATTTATACATAATTTTCTACGTCAGAACGCATAATCTTAACACATAGATACATACTATAATTCTGTCAAAGACAAGTGCACCTAATCATCTAGAATACCTTTCAGCATTAACTAGTTGGCAAAATAACTAATAAGTATCGGTACAAAATTTATTTTTACTCTTTATTATTTTTGTATAAAAATATTACGTATTATATACTCATCTTACCTGAAATCGTCTCATATCTCGCGGGTTGCCGGCATTTTTCAAACAATTCTGGTTGCATTTTAAGAAGAACTTTAAGAAAAATCTGCAACAAAAAATAATGTGAGCATATTCCAGTTGTGTTCTTAATTTACCATTAATTTATATTAACTACAGTTAAAACACCATCTGCTTCCACTTCGGTGCAAGCAATACCGCCCCCATTATAGTAAAATTTGTTTCTCGTGTTCTCAAATTTGTATCTTCCGCTCTAAGTTTTTTGTTGAACCAATTAAACATGTTCACAACTTTTTACATTGTTTTCGAAGTTCTTTTTCATTTTACAAATAGGCGTTTCAATCAAATATTTTCTAAGCGTCCAACCGTACGTATAACTTTACAATGTTTTAATTGGAGTTGAATTCGTCTGAAATGATCTTTAGGTGTATGTAATACAGATCATATAATCTGAATAGGTAAGGTATGTGAAGGGTAACGTAAAGCGCGATCAGCCAGATCACGATGAATGCTTTAGCAGAAATATTTTACATCGCCTCGGGCGTACAGACGCCGAATATCGCCGTGCCAACAGATGGGATTTAACAGAGTTCGTACAACACATAGACGATATTTATTATAATACAAGTAAATACATATAATAAATCAAGTTATTTTAATGTACTTAATAGAAGAGACGTACCATTTCAGTGCAATAATTTTATATAATTTGATAATTGTATGACGTAGTGAGGAATAAGTAATAGCGTAATATATTGTTCTAAAGCAAAAAAAATAAATAATAATGAATTTATCGGATATTATATTTATGCTTTAAATTCTTAATCATCAGTATATAAGAATTTATTTGAATATACTCTCAAATATGAGGGTAGCAACACAACGATCTCCAACAAGATCGTGATACGAACAGAACGTATTTGTAGAGCCCGAGGCGACACATCTGTCCGCATTATTTATGTTAAACACCTTATGTCACAATATTGAGACTTGATTTCCGTAGTCATCTATTAACAATTTTTTTGTTAAACAGCAAAAAATGTTCCATTTTACAACAATTAGATAAAGACAAAGCTTTTTAAAGTTTTACCTATAATCAGCAATTTCAAGTTATTTCTACGCTTTTAAACTGTGACAGTAAAAAACACAAGATGTTTTAAAAATTCAAATAGAGCATTTAAATCCTAAGAGGTGGTCATTAATATGAAAGCAAGGGTCAAGTGACACGAAACATATCCGTCCCTATAAGTCTTGCGGCCGACCCTAAGCCACGGATGGAACAGCCTAAATAGAATCTATGAGGATATTACGATACAGTTCACGAGCTGTTCTTTAGATGGCTTTTATCACATTTAAAAGAATCACATGCACCTTTTATACCAAAAAAATTATCACCAATTCGAAAATAATATATAAAAATGCTTTATATACTTTTAAATTTGCTTCAAACGTTCTTTTATCAGATATAGTTATAACTACCAACGTTTCCGTTACTGAGACATACCTCTATCCACACTACAGCGACAGGCGCTAATTTATACGAAGCGACCCGTTATTTACGACTCACGCCTTATGTGAATTACCTGTAATGAAACTTTGTTCCCTTGTTTATATTGCGTTGCTTTAAATGCAACATAAATACGAGTATTTTTTACTTATATAAACGACATTTAATTAGTAATAGGATTATGGAAATAAATTAAATGATAATTTATTTGAAGGCTTATGAAAAAGATGTAAATGAAAACAATTTTGGATAGAGAAATGCAATCGAACAGAAAACGGTTGCGTAAGAAAACAGGTTGCGACAAAATCAAACCGTCACCAATAAAAGCGGCTGCCTATATAAAAAATATTTACCTATAGCATCACGAACGCGAAGGTAAGTGTATATTTCGTCGTAAAAACTACCCCAACTTTCATCCCTCCGTATTATATGCCTTATCCGTTAAAGCTTATCTTTAGATAGCAATACAGGAATACTTGAAAAATTACGTCTCTCAAACCAAAGTATTGTTTTTATCCATTAAAACATTTTTAGTCAATAAAAAAAAATCGCTGTCAAAATGTTAGTTCGAATATAACATAATATAAGATTGTCCAATAAAATAATACACAAAAGAAGATCAAGCAACTTTAATAAGTTCTAATAACTAACAATACAAAGAAGTATTATTGAACATCGCGTTCAAGATTTTACAAAGAATAAAATGCGTCACAGAAGTAACATCATAAAATATAATTTAAATAATGGATACATTGTTAACGGTACAATATATTGTTATTGTAATGAAATTGGTTCATTATATCGTATGAAAAAGTCTTATAATTTTATTTTCACTAGCATATTCCACTATCTGCTGGAAAAAATCTACTACGGCATTAAGTCGCGGTGGTGGGGCGCTCCAAGGAACGCTTGAATGCCACCCGCCCCATTCTACCGACATTTGTACGATATTTATTTGCATGGAAGTTTCATTTGACGGGTTTACATAGAAAAAATTTAAACTTAAAAAAAATACTCGGATTGAAACATTGCTTCTGTTTGAAACTTCAAATATTTTCATAATAAAAAAAAAGTTTAAAAATTTCAAACCGATAATAAATAGTGAGACAGTAATAAAAGAGTTGATATTTATAAAATGTTTCGACTTCAGTCACACGGATCATACGATAGTACATCCGAAGAACTTACAGTGTACTGACAACAAGCGGTCTCTTATAACTTTTCCCTTTTAACCTTTCGCCCCCAACTCCCCCGGGAGGCGGTCCCCTGAGCCTGGCTCCCAACGCCCCTCACCACTCAATACCGACACGCCATGCCGCAAAGAATATTCGGACAGATCGGACACTGTTTTATGACCTAGTATTATACATACATGAAAATACATAAAGGCATATTCATTATGCAAATGAGGTTGCATTAACTATTTGATTCTTATAAAATTGTGTATATCATTCATAATATAAATATTTTGTGTACATATACACAATTTTTAATGCAAAGCCTTTATAAGCTGCAAAACCGGCTTGGAATCCTGGTTTAAAATATCTTCTTATCGCTATTATTATTTTAATACTCATGCACAAATGTATCTATATCTAATAGACTTATAATCTTATATATATTTACCTTCAATTTTAATGATATCTGGTATGATATGAACATGACAGCAGTTAGTACTATTCAGATATGCGAAATAATCTTTGGCATCGTGCGACGGGCCTATAACGGGCCCAGTTTTCGACTTTGTTTTTCTGCGTGCCTATAGCGAGCGTTAATATTTCAGTACGTACAGAATTCAAGGGTTAACTGGTCCCCATCTCCGTCAATAGACAGCAATAACAACGTTCTATATAGACACAGAAATAAATACATTCAATGATATAGTACTAAGAAGTATATAATCCAGATGGGTAATGATCCAGAGGGTGTCCTGCTAAGTATTTTTCCGATATTTGGTATTGGGCATACGGGTACGCGACCCCGGATCCTCGAGCCACCACTTTCATACCCCTATCTCCAGCCCATGAAGGTGGTGTCCTGTACCTTCGCCCCATTCCCATTCCTTACCTCTTTCTCCTCCCCCTCTCTATCTTTATCCTTTCCTGGTTTTACCCGTTTGACGGGGTTTTGGAGGTCAGACGGCAGTCGCTCCCGTAAAACCACTCCTCGCCACTCAAATGGACAAGGAAAAGGAAAAAGAACTGGGTATGGTTAGGGCGTCGCCGATAAACGACGCGCAGGCACATCGCCCTAAACCTGCGATAAGTGGGCAAGGGCTACCGTGTCAAGTACGGGCACGGCTAAAGACGTCAGTACCCAATCGGAAACTCCGCTTTGCAACATGGAATATTGGCTCTCTAACCGGACGATGCAGAGAACTCGCAGATGTACTCATGAGACGTCGGGTCCAGTGTGCATTCCTTCAGGAAACTCGCTGGAAGGGCAATAAGTCTCGCAACATCGGGCAGGGTTACCGGCTGATATACACTGGGTCGCCTTCAGGTAAAGCTGGTGTAGCGGTAGTGCTATCTGAAGAGCTTCAGAATGGTCTTCTTGAAGTCGACCGCCGCTGCGACCGCCTGATGCGGGTGCGGGTATTGATCGAGGGAGTCATAACTAACTTAATCAGTGCCTATACTCCTCAGGCGGGATGTAGCGAGTCAGAAAAAGAGTCATTCTGGGAGCAATTTGAAGAGGTTCTACGCGCTATCCCAGCTGCTGAAGTAATCATAGTTGGGGGGGACTTAAATGGCCACGTAGGTAGGGCTGCGGATACGTACGAGCGTGTACACGGTGGTTTTGGTTATGGTCGCCGCAATGCAGAGGGAGAAACCATTCTCAGAACCTGTATTGCGTCTGACTTGGCCGTCGTGAACACGTTCTTCCAAAAGACTCCGCAACACCTTATCACGTATAAAAGCGGGTCCCATTCTACCCAAATAGATTATATGCTGACCAGACGGTGTCATATCGGCAAGGTGACTAACTGTAAAGTCATCCCTGGTGAAAGCCTGACGGCCCAACATCGTCTTCTTGTCATGGACTTTGTCGTTACCCCGAAAAAGAAAGTAGCCGAGAAACGTGAGCCTCGGATCAGGTGGTGGTTGCTGAAAGGAACGATGCAGACCAACTTTCGGGCAGCGGTTGAGAGTCAAAATCTGTTGACCCATACCGAATCTGCTCAGGAAGCTTGGGATCGAGCGCAGTCAGCAATTATCACAGCAGGCAAGCGAGTTTTAGGTCTTTCTAGGGGGGGACGGGTCATTGATAGGGAGACGTGGTGGTGGAATGACGAAGTGCAGGAGGTGATTCGCAACAAAAAGGCTGCCTTTAAGAAGTGGCAGCAATCACGCTCTCCTGAAGACAGACTAGAGTACATAGCAGCGAAACGTGCCAGTAAAAGGGCTGTTGCCAGAGCCCGCAGTGACAGGTTATCACCGTTATATGATACACTTGAAACTGCGGAGGGGCAGAAGCTCATTTACAAATTGGCTCGAGCTCGGGATAAAGCGACGCAAGATATCTCAAAATGTCTTTGCGTCAAAGATTCCCAGGGCACACTGCTGTGTAATCATGCCTCT